GTTATTGTCAACTGTCAAGTTCAGTTATTTTTAGACAATATGGTGTTAGCCAATCAGAATGCAAAATTGACCGGCCCGGACCAGGGCTTCCTCGTGTCTCGTCCTCACACTGAAGCCCTGGGAACGAGGTTGGACGATCTATTCTAAAAGACCACACGAGTCAGAACACGAGTGAACACGAGTGTGAATACGAGTGAACACGAGTGTGAACACGAGACAACACGAGTCAGAACACGAGTGAACACGAGACAACACGAGTGAACACGAGTCAAAAATTTGTGAACACGAGTCAAAAACTGACGAACACGAGTGAACACGATTCAAAAATGACGAACACGAGTGAACACGAGTCAAAAGCTGACGAACACGAGTGAACACGAGTCAAAAATGACGAACACGAGTGAACACGAGTCAAAAACTGACGAACACGAGTTAAAAATCTGTGAACACGAGTCAAACACGCATTCTTAAAGAGGCTCCTTACAGTTTTAAGCCCGTGATGAAGGCCGGTCTTTACTGTGTAATTGCACGCGGGATAGTCAGGATTCTTGGCGGCCCACAGGACGTTGGATTAATAAAAATAATTATTATAACGAAAATTTTATTCAATTTTAATAATAATAATAATAATAATACTTATAATTATTATAAATATTACTATTATTATTATAATTATATTATCATTAAAATATTATAATTAATTATAATTATATACATAATAATAATTAATAATATATTAATTATTATAATAATTTTTATTAAATAAAAATTATTTTTAATTAATTATTATATAATTATATACATAATAATAATTAATAATATATTAATTATTATAATAATTTTTTTTAAATAAAAATTATTATTAATCAATTATATATATATATATATATATATATATATATATATATATATATATATATATATATATATATATATATATATTGTGGATTATTATACCTTTTTATGCATGAGGAAGTTCTTGTTTTATTACACTGGCATGTAGGCCAAGTGTCTTAAATCAGCCGCTCCTTGCGTTATCAACAATATAGTATTGTAATTATCAACCATTATTAGCAATAAGTTATTGGGTTGTAACCCTAACCCCCACCCTAACCCTAACCCTAAAGTAAAGTTGCCTGGGTTTGCATATCCACCAACCCGCCGCCTCCATAGTAAGACAGTTACGTTTATAACTAAAACTTTTGTCCAATGCTTGTGGTTTTCTTTCCAGTAACAACCCAATAACTTATTGCTGATAACGGTTGATAATTACAATACTATATTGTTGATA